ATTTGTTATTCGTTCATTTTTTGTACATAAATTAGTTTTCTCGTTTGAATTGTTTTACATTGTCATTTCGGGGCCTTTTATATCTGACTGTGCGGTATGGGCTTTGCTCATTGTTGAAGGCCGTACGGTGACCTATAGTTGTTAATTTCTGTGTCATTTGGTCTCTTGTGGAGAGTTGTCTCATTGGCAATCATACCACATCTTCTTTTTTATATACTATACAAATAAATCTAACACAGCTGCCAACAAAAAAATCTTTTGTAGTTGATAGTAAATTTAACAAAGACGTAACAAAAAAGTTTGATAGTACATACAATATATCGTATACACTATCTCGATAAGATACAAATAAAGTAAAACATAAATACATGGGTAAATAATATGAAAACAACACTGTCAAAACCTCTTGCGTCCAAATCGCACCTCTGGACCCACCCACACCAGGAACGCCCGAAAGAAAAAAAACCTGATAGGTGGCTGCTTAAATACCGAGTCACGTCAAGAGTCATACAAACAATATTATAGCACAAAGACAAATAAAGGGAAACTATCAAGTAAATAAAAAGATATACAACTTCAGCACCTAGAATCGATAACTCAAGACCATCTTGTCTTATTTATAAGTAGACAATAAATATTTATTTATAAGGTTTTGATACTTTCCTAAGAGTTTAAGACAAAAAAAGAACGCAAAGCACTTTGAAAAATCCTAGCTCATCAATCTTTTGCTCAGACACCAATGACGTTTTGCAAAGTCTGAGAAGTAGATGTAAGCCCTTGGATGTCGTATGAGTTGAGAAATGTATACTACATACGCGTGTGAAGTTGGTATAACATCAGATTGATATTTATACAATAAAGATTTGTGTATATACAAGTTGTATATATGACAATTGTATGGGAGTTATGGCACTTGGGCCATTTGTTTGTGCTGTTTAACATTTTCCATCACAATGACACCTTGTGAACGCAACTTGTCTGAAACTGTTCGACAAAAAGCTTTCATACTTAATAGGATTGTTTGTTATCGTGTGTAGTTGACCATACTATACCGTCATTTAGATCTGACAATTTTTACCGAAGTCATAGGTATTTGACAGTTTTGTTTTACTCTAACAATACAATAACACCTGATAAATGCAACTCATCTGATCCCATGTGTCATAAAACTTTCACAACTTGGTGTTGACTGTATTCCACAGGACAATGCAGCGGGATACATTTCGACGTAGCAAAACTGTTTATTAATTGTGGCACCCGTTGTGTTGTTCATGTAAGTACAAATCTGAGGATAAGTCTCATTCAGTGATGTCACAATATAGGAAAAGAGGACGGCGTTCTGGTTACGACAATTGGAACATTTCCATAATCACAATGAAACAGATGTTCAATAACAGTCAACCAACTCGTGAAAACTATCTGAGAAATGACTTAAACTTTTAAATTTGGAACCCTTAGTTCGATTGCTTCCTTTAAGCAGCTACTCTCTATTAAGGCAATCATTACAAAGACGAATATCGTATCAACTGGGAGATGATAGATACCGCATATGCAGGCGCATAGAAATAGAAATGTAAAGTTCACAATTGGGCAGCTGAAATCTTCTCTTTTGTCATAGTTTTGTTCTTAAGCGACCCACATTGTTAATGTATAGGGGTAAGTCAAGATATGAGGTAGACTATCTGTGGTATCCTTTATTTCAAGTTCAATGTGATAAATGCGTTCAACATAATCATCAAACTTTTGGTTATTTACTGAGAGGACATCATTGATATAGCGGAACGTGAAGTTTAAAGATAACATGGATAAAGATAGCTTCTTTTTATTTTTCATTAGAAGTTCTCCTGTAAAAAGTCTGTTTCATTTGAATAGAGGATAAAATCGGCAAGAAGAGGAGCATTTTTCAACAGGAATGCCGATTGATTGTTGAAAACACATCCTCCAAACGTTACAAATATGTTTTCAATAAAAAAAAATCAATCATCTTGATGATGACAATTTCGAGGATTTTTCTTGTTGGAATCAAATTGGTTTTTTTACATAGTAAGATTAATCCCTTACTACATAACAAGATATTTGTATCTACATTGGCCATTAGTTTCTAAGAAACAAAGTGTTTGTTAATTGTTTTACATTAGCCATTTCAGGGCCTTTCATAGCTGAATATGTGGTATGGGTTTTGCTAATTGTTGAAGGCCATTCTGTGACTTATAGTTTCATTTGGACTAATTTTGTCAATCTGTCTCTTAATTTAAAATGGGATATACCAGTGTAAACTTTGGGACAAAGATTGTACGTGGTGTATGTACTGTAAAAGATCTTATAGAATTGTTTAGTATCTACATCTGATTCACATCGCCCCTCGTGTAGGAAGTTTCACAGTTACTCGGAAGCCCGTATTTGCCTACTAATCAAATTGATGTTAATGGTCTTGTTTTAGCAATTTACAGACCCAGCAATATCACGTTGTTTGTAAGTCCACTTTTGTAATTTTGATATCCAGTACAGTAAAGGAAGATCAAGTTTTTCATCTTATTGGATTATCGTATTTATCATTTCCAAAGTTACATAACACAACATCATTTTATTCAAATCTAGACTGAAAAAAAAACGTTTTATCTCTCGGAGAGCTTTATGTGTTCTCCCTAACCGACAAAGCAGGAAATCATGTTTTTGCTGCTCGATCTTAGTACTATACACAAATATAGTTAAACCTAAGATTACAGATTCTAAAATATCCATGGCTTTTTGTTCTACCGGAATACCATAGAGGAACTTGATTGAACCGATATCGTAAGTTGATACCAGCAGGTTCCTTTCACGAATTGGCCTAATAAGCATCAAATGTTTATACTTATTATTTATATCTGAATTCCCATAATGTTCATTATATTCTTAATTGTTATGTTAGAGCTTACACTAATTCAGAATAAATAATTTCTAGAAGTTCTAAGAACTTTCTTGAAAAGGTTGGAAAAGCTACGTTTTAGAAGGTCTGATTCTCAAAGGCAGTAATTAAGTAGTCTTTTCCTCTTATAGCACATAATCACTTCATTTTACTTTTGTTTCCAGTTATCTAATATGATACTATAAGTTCAAGATGATATATACTTTTATTGCCAAATAAACCATGTGTATATATTAAAGTATTATTATACAATTATAGCCTTGGTATGAGGTCGATACAAGGATATATTGACCTGAAAGAAGTATATTGACTGAGGACGAAGTCCGAGGTCGATATACTGCTTTGGGTCGATATATCCTGTATTGACCTCATACATAGGCTATAATTGTTATATTATTAATTTCCGCCCATATTTGTATTAAAATCGTCGTTTGATTTTGTTGGAAATTTATAGATATCATATTGTCTCCTAGACAATAACAACATATTAGTTGTTATTTCATTTATTTTTTATGTTTGTTTTTTAACATCTTATTTATTTGAAGATTTTTTTCTTCAAATAATCGATCAAAGATATTTTTTAATAAAACTTTTAACAATATCATGAAATTCATTACATGACGTCACAAAGTATATCGGTTTTTAGATATTCTAAAAATAACCGTGCAATATGCTTTTTGCTATGCAATATGCTTTTTGCTATCCGCCGTTTTCTGTCTACCTTCGAAAATATAGTTTAACATGTGACTATCCCTGAACGAATCAAATTAGTTAAAATATACGAATTAATAATATAATGATATATTGTATATTCTTACATGTATATAACGCTTCAATCCGAGTAAATTGTTAGAACAATAAAAATTATTCACTTAAAAAAAAAAATGAAAACAACCTACTAATAACCTACTAATAACAAAAAATGCCGTCTTACACTCTAACTCTTAATATCAGCACAACAATGTTAAATCTGCAAATTTTTGTTCTGCCCTCGCCGGGATTCGAACTCATGCTATAGAGATATCGAGACAACACCGCCTGCACTGTGTCCATCGCTCTAGACCACTCGGTCACCTATACTGAACTAAATAATTCAGCTTTCGGTGGCCTAGTGTTACCTTTTCTCGTCAGTAGAATCTAGAGTTGTAACACAGTACATGATATATTAGGAATGAAGATGGAATTGCTTGCATATTAGCTAAATATCTTTCGTAAAGGATCGTATGATACAGTCACAGAAATATTATTTTGATAAGAACGTCTAAACAAGTGACAACTCTACGACAGATCCATTGATTGGATCACCAGTGAAAAGGATACACGGCTGAAAACACATTTTATATTCATAACTACTCTAAATATCAGCACAACAATGTTAAATCTGCAAATTTGCGAAAGCAAATTTTTGTTCTTCCCTCGCCGGGATTCGAACTCATGCTATTGAGATATCGAGATAACACCGCCTGCACTGTGTCCATCGCTCTAGACTACTCGGCCACCTAGATTGAACTAAATAATTCAGCTTTCGGAGGCCTAGTGTTACCTTTCCTCGTCAGTAGAATCTAGAGTTGTAACACAGTACATAATATATTAGGAATGAAGAAGGAATTGATTGCAGATTATCTAAATATCTATCGTAAAGGATCGTATGATATAGTCAAAGAAATAATTATTTTGATAAGTAAAAGTGCTTTGTATTCTTATCATCAACGTAACGTCTCGTGCAGAGCTCAGTTTGGTGGAGATTTTTCTTATGCGGAAGGAGTTATTACTATAGAAATGATTGGTAAGAAAGTGCGTAAGGTCGTTAGATTGTGTCATAAAAGCTTATTTCTTAAGAAAGAAATCTTACAAACTTCGTATTTATATCATATATCTTAGAGACAAGAAATAGTTTTTTGTAATTTTGATTTTCAGGGATGGACACATGATAGTTTAAAGGGGAGTCCGCTTATTTCCTTTAAATCAGAGCGTTTTGTTGACTTAAAGCCGAATGTACGGATTTTTGGATTTTATAGAAATATCTGTCATAATATTAATGCCTTCCACCTTGCTTGGTATTTCAGACAAACATTGCGGTGCATGGTTAACGATGCAAACCACTCAATTACAGACAACTTACCCTGGTCCAATTATCACAACAACTACTGACCATACAGATGTATCCACAACTGAAGTAATACAAATGTCTAGTAAGTTTTACATTTTATGTTTTTTTAAGTAGTAGACTGAAATGGACTATAACTGAATATATTTTGTTTTACAGTTTTACAAAGTAAAGACAGTATTTTTTTTCTGGGTTTCAATTTGTACGAGTTCTGTTTTCACAATCATTTGTTTTTGTTTTCAGATGATTTAGGATAAACAAATTTTGATTGTGGCCGTGGTGTCGATACTGGTAGTAGAGATCTGTCAGTGTGTTATATTTGCCATACTGTACAAAAAAGGTAAACTTAAATTTGTTTTGTATGCGGTCAGATAAATAGTAATGAATGGCAACTCCTTTCATTCATATCTAAAGGGAAAAACACAGCCATCTCTCTAATATGAGGGAGTGGATGGGAGTTTACAGAATAGAGAATAATGGGAAAAAATATAAAAGAGGTGTTAAAATATAAAGAATAGAGAATAATGGGCAAAAAGTATAAAGAATAGAGAATAATGGGCAAAAGTATAAAGAATAGAGAATAATGAGGTGTTAGAATATAAAGAATAGAGAATAATGGGCAAAAAGTATAAAGAATAGAAAATAATGGGCAAAAAGTATAAAGAATAGAGAATAATGAGGTGTTAGAATATAAAGAATAAAGAATAATGGGCAAAAAGTATAAAGAATAGAAAATAATGGGCAAAAAGTATAAAGAATAGAGAATAATGAGGTGTTAGAATATAAAGAATAGAGAATAATGGGCAAAAAGTATAAAGAATAGAACATAATGGGCAAAAAGTATAAAGAATGGAGAATAATTGGCAAAAAATTTTAAGTATACAGAAAAAAAGGACTCCCATCCAGACCCTCTAATATCCAATTGATAAAAATATAAATAGATTATAAATACGAAACGAAAATATGATTATGTTCAGAACATGTATGACAAATTTGATATTCCACAATCATTTAATCCTCTGTAATATGTATGATATTCGCAGGAACTTTATTATATCTAAGATATATCAGTTCTTGTTAAATGTCTTCTCTTTTACTAAATCGTATTTTTCCATAGCGACATATATATTTTACTATCTCCTCTTTTCGATTATAACACAAAGCTAGCACTTCAATTCACATTTTTTAAATATGTAAACATGAAGTAACAATTTTTATTGTTTTAACCTGTTTTTTTCGTCTATTTTTGGGCAGGTGTCCATTGATTAGCATACATGTACATGAACCATGGAGTAAGGAAGATAATACAAACAATCAATACAATATACTGGCGTAACTATGTAAAGAATTTGTGTCGACACCACTCCTAACCAGTCTATAATTCTAATAAATGTGTAGAGTATTTGATATTCTATCAAAACAGTTTACAACTATGACTAGACTCAAGAGTGGATAGCATCAGAATTATACATAAAGTATATGTATGATAATGTTGAAGATCTCTTTAAGCTGTGCAATTTTACTAGAACACACGGGTTCATGACTAAATTAAATGTCTACTTTTAGCCTGAATTGAAATATAACCATTATTGGACGGACATAGTGATAACTATATAACCCCGCTTTTGCCGAAGGTGAAATAAGATGGACAAAGAATTATCGATTTAGGACATACCTCAACATTATGATATCACCGCAGGTTGTTAAGAAATTTAGGAGATATAAAATGAAAACATTAACCCCAGTAAAACTAGCGTCTAAATTAGGTTCTCCAAAAGAATAACCGATTTTTGCTCCACTCTGACACCCGTCCATCTGCTCACGGTAAAAGTTAAATAGTATTACGAAACCATGTAAGAAAACAAGGACTGGTTCAGACAGAAAGATATTGCAACCAGAGTAAACTGTCTACCTAATTCACTGCGTGTCTTCATCGGATGACAATACAAAAACAATAATGGTTATACTTTAATGTACACATCAAACAGATACTTTCTTGCAATCCGTTTGGTATGAGTATATATAGAGGTTAGTCGAAGCAAATATATATTATTATATATATTTATAAAATAAGGTTTTGCGTAAAATTTGAAACAACAAACAGGTTTCTCACATTTTTATACGAAATATATTAGTAAACCACAACATAGTCCCTTAGACTGAGATTTTCTTTTACAAAATTTATTTCAACTATTTTAAACCAATATTCTTTAAAACATCTTTTTACATTTGCAATTTTGTAAACTGTAGAGAAATTGATTTGATTTCATTCCTTCTCTTTAGATAAAGTAAATGATATCGTTTTTATAATCTCATATAAATTTGTCTTATAGTCCGAGTTTGTTATAGACCGATACTGTGATCGATGGTGATAAGCCGAGTTTGTGAGTCAAGTGGAAGTAGTAGGCATAAAATCCGAAAAACGATGGTAAGGACGGAAAGGACATCTGGAAGTCATTCTATTTTCTGAATTATTCCTAAATGAATAATCATTACGGAGGATAACACACTACAGTTTGCATCCTTCCTTTACGGTAGAAAGTCAAGTTGATCGATTTGATCTGGGAAACGGAGAGACGACACACAAAACCAGGTCTCCTTATTTAGTATTATAGATTGGAACACTGTGATTGCAACATGTACTTGAGAAAGAAGCATTTTATGTACCTCTTCTAAGTTTGAGCTATCCTGATGAAGACAAATCAAGAATTGTGCTTCGAACATAGAACATTTATTAAGTTTTCATTTTCTAGCACTGGGTTGTTTTCGATGTCCATTTGGTCATGCCGATTTTTTAATATGAAAATATTTATACATCTTTGAATTTTCAATTTTTGAGGTTGGAGCATATCTTATTGAGGCAAACCATGCAAACAGTGTTATTTTCAGTAATTCAGCATCGGTCAAAAGACATTACGGAAGGGCCGCTAATACGCACATAAGATAACTATTTACTGTGCATTGTGTAATTCTGGAACGGCCCATGATATATAGCGTGCAACAAAATTTACACGAGAGCTTCTTTCAATGAAACGCAATATAACTTAAATATTTTGATCTTATACTTATCTACAAATATCATTTCAGTGAATAAAGCCCCATTACCCTATGATGCCAAAATGTAAAACTCATAAACAAAACAATGAAAAAATGTAAAAATTGAAAAAAAAAACTTCAGTTGTCATAAACCATCTCGTAGAGACGGAAAAAAGGAAAAGTGTTGAGGCGGTTTTTCTACAGAACACACATATAATATGTTCTATTATAATTTGAACTGTAAACACTATTTTCACATGTTTAATGGTGCTAGGAGCGACAAAAACGAAGATAAATATTGAGGAACGGAAGAGTTAATCGACGGACAGAAAAAGAACAAATGTTAAACATAATAATCTTAGCCGGGAACATCAAAAACGGTTTTTTTTTTCAAATACTTTACCAAGAGACATTTTTGAACGGATGAAAGTGGTGTATACTCCATAAATCCATATGTATTTTCGTTCAACTTAAACAATTGCTTATAAAACACTCTATTCTGTAACCAATCGCACTGATTGCAACTAAGCTTCTCTAAATGTTTACAAATTAGGGATAATTTCATTTAAAAAGACAAAAAAGTAAGTATATGGTTGAATGTTTAAAAGATAAAGGAAAATAACATTTCTTTTCACAAAAAAATGTTAAATAAAAACGAAGATTATTTAATGTGGATTGTGGAATATGCTGATGAGTTCAAGGTGGTGCTAGGGTCCATCTTCAACTTGTAGTAAGGTGAGCTGTTCCTTTGCTTTTTGTGTTTTTTCCTGTGCATGTACAGATTTTATGAATATAGCTACCTCATATCCTTTCTTTTCTATTACTTGACTTTTTTGTTGTTAAGTTTTTAAAGTTAGTTCAAATGATTATCTATTTGGGCTTCAAACAATGAATCGTGTTAACTTTAAAAGCTGGTATATATATATAATGATTTTTTTCTTAAAGATTTGGGTAAGAATGTATAACTTAGGATATGTGATATGATTGGCAATCATTAAACAATCATTTACCAAGGACCAAAAGGACAAAGCTGTAAATAACTACTCGTAATGGTAGAACATTTAACAATTAGCAAAACCCCTACCGTAGAGTTAAGAAACAATTCATGGCATCCTTCAGTCTTAGATTTGTTTTCATTTAACCATGGGTTGAGCATTTATATTAGTACTTAACCTCTCGCTATCGCTTGGGATAAAATAATCGAATATAAATGCTTAACCCATGGTATGAACAAAGGGCTAAACAAATAAACCAAGAGTGAAAACCATTGTTCTGTTTTCTGCTACAAGAAATGAATTTAAAACATTCATGGCGGACACTAGACAGCAACGACAATCACTGGATTACAGACTCCTAATTTTGGATAGACAATTACCTCATTTTATTGGAGTAAAAGATGTTTGTGAGCACTCAAACCTGCCCCTTATCGGGAACATGTGTGAAACAGTACCAAAATAGAACAAACTGTAAAAATCATTTGAAAAGTTGCTAAACATATCAGATGAATTTTTCATTGACGTGTTACTTAAACAACATTGTAAGTTCTACATGTACGTATACATACTTGATATTATCATTTTCTATTTCCAGCGCATGATAATGTTATAATACGGATGTAGTCCCTTATTCGAAAATTTTCTGAATTATTCTTTGATCGAAATCCATTAATAACATAATGAAATAAAAATTTAAATTAAGATTTCCATTAGCAAAGGTATTAGATGGCAGTTTAATTCTCATTAATTGTTCACTTGTGCTCAACAACGAACAAATATTTATTATATGAGGGCAATATCAAATTTTAAAGCCGACTTGAAATTAGAAAGCTACATCCATATCTACCTTAAAATAAAACTAGAGGCTCTAAAGAGCCTGTATCGCTCACCTTGGTCTATGTGCATATTCAACAAAAGACACTCTCCAACATTGAAGACAAGAATAGAATTCATAAGAAAAATCTCTGTTTTGTTGATCTCGTATTGCTGGTCATTTAGTCTGTTTAGTTTCTCTCTATCTTCCTTAGTTTTTGGTAAAAAAACACAAAAGAGG